CTCCAAATGACTATTTACACCAAGGTGAAAAAAGAAAAAAGAAAAAAGAAAAAGAAAAAGGAAATGTAGAAGGTAAACAAAGCGAAAAACTCCCTGGTTTCATTATTTATAAACATCATATTTTATTGTCAGCGATACCGGTCAGGAGTAATTAGTAGCGTAAAAAAATAAATTTTCATTTGTTCCGAGTAAGTTATCAATGAAAAAATATAATCAAAAGTAGAAAATATATTTCGCCAGAAAATTATTTTGTGCTATTTCTTTCATTTCTATATTTTTTAAATCACAGACATGTTTTTTCTTTATCCGGAGATAAGTACCGTATATTTCATCGTATAAGGCGACCTTTAGATAGAACAAGGCAAAAAAAAAATATAGCAAATGTTCATGAATTTATCCTATACTTGTAGTATAAGACGACTGTTTATTTATTATATACAGATGATGTTATTTGAAATGCTGTTACTTACTGTATCACTTAGATATTCAAAATAAACGAAATATCTAAACCGTTTTTTTAATACACACGTCCCCTGAAATGGAAACCATTGTTTTCTTTAAGTTTCATCATGTGATATTTTGTGAATACTGATTCTTCATCTTTTTCTTCCCTTCCTTTCCTATATCTAAACATTTTCAAACAGCCTGGTGTACTAATGACCATGTACTTATACTTCGTCGACAATCAAAAAATACTGTTAATAACAGTATGATAATGGACGATAATTGATGTGAACGCAGTCATAACTCGATGTTTACGTTTTCTCAGCTGAGCTTGCATGGATACAAGTTGATTTCATTGATATAGAATTATTCTTCGAATAGGAAATTTATTATGAAGTTATGTAAGTAATACGGTAGAGTAATGGATAGCTGCTCGGACTGAGGAATCGGAGAGCCGAGTTCGAATTTCAGTCGAATCCATTATATTCATTTACGTGCTAGTAGCCTTGGGAAAGTTATGAATCCTCTTCTTCTCCCCCAAGCCAGGGGTAAATAGCAGGACAGACCGGGATCTATAGCCTTGGATGGCAACTGGTCTACGGCAGAAAGAAATGATAACCTACTGACGGAAAAAATATGCTTCGTCAGTCATGTATCGAAAGATACGTGATCGCCAAAGCGTGTATCACGCATGGCACATAATAGCGGCTTGGATTGAGGAAAAGGAGAGCTGAGTATGAATTCTAGTAGAATCCATTACATTCATGATATGTCCCGGTAAGGGATATATTTGAACGAAGTAGCTAAGTGGTTTTGGCTACTATAACCAAGTAGAATACAGTAGCATTAATCGACTTGTACGCGTCGTAGTCGCAGGTAAGACGTGTAGATCAATGGCGTAGTTCAATGGGCGTCGTTATAGACTTAGCTCTCAGACTAAGGCTCTGATTCTCCTACACGTCCGTCGGTATTTATGACGGACACCAGCCAATCATATTCCAGTGAGGGGGAACACAGGTGTATGCATATTCCATTATATCAATTCACTTATGTGCTAATACTCTTGGGAAAGGTATGAATTCGCTCCTTCTCCCCCACCCAGCTATGAGTAAATAGCAGGACAGACCGGGTTCTATAACTTTGGATGGCAACTGGTCCACCACATAAAGAAATGGTAACCTACTGCGGGAAAAAAATCTACCTCGTCGGTCATGTATCGAAAGATACATGATCGCCTAAGCGTGTATCACGCATGGCACATAACTGACTGAATAGCGGCTCGGATTGAGGAATCGGGGAGCCGAGTTCGAATTCCAGTAGAATCCATTACATTCACTTACGTGCTAATACCCTTGGGAAAGGTATGAGTCCTTTTCTTATGGGTAAATAACAGGACAGATCGGGTTCTATAGCCTTGGATGGCAACTGCAGAAAGAAATGGTAACCTACTGAGGGAAAAAATCTGCCGCGTCGGTCATGTATCGAAAGTACGTTATTGGTTTTCGTACCCAGGTAAGCTTACCGACAAGCATCACTCAGAATTTAAGGTTTCTTTTTTAGAATTGTAATATAAGACGGTACCTAATTTTTAATGGTGACTTTTGAGATTTAAAGGTCGTCTTATACGCAGAAATATAATGTAGTAATGATAAAATTATAATTTTACATCGAACGGTTACAAATGATAATTGTTAGCTTTAAAGGCAAACCACTGTAACAGAAACGAGATACTCACCCCTTACTCCAAGAAGACCAAAGAATACATAGCAAGTTTGATGACCGCGCATTAAATGTTTTTGCCGTGTCGAACGAGAAAACTCTTTCCAGAGAAATTGCAGAGTATTTTCATCTTATCTACTAGTATTTGCCTTATGTCGAAACTCAGTGCAACCCGTGCACACATCGATCATGAGCGATCAAAGTACAAGTATCAACATACACCCTTGTACAAATTAATTGAAACAAAACGAATAATTCCGTTAATATTTACCGTATTTGACGACATATAAGGCGCACTTTTTTTTTTACTCAAATTATCTTTTAAAATTTCCCTGTGACTTATATGCCATATAAAGGTTTACTAATTACTATTTTTTTCTTGATTTGCCCTACGGAAATTGGGGTGTGTCTTATATGCCGTCAAATACGGTACTTTTTTTTCGTATTTTTCCAATGAAACATGCCCCAGTGCACATGTTAGTCCCTCGTACGTTTATTCCTCGAAATCGTTCTTTCCATTCCAGATTCACGACCGGATTTAAATCAGAAGAGTTTCCGGATTTGTCTATAGTACTTTGATTTGCTCACTGGTAAGGCTTGTCAGTATGTTCGCGCAGCGTTTCAATTTTCGTACGCTCTCTTTGGAGTAACATCCATGGCCGTAGGACAACTAATGGACAATCGAGACAGCAGTGTCAGGGTGGGATAAAAATCTGATGCAAATACGGATGACGCAATATTTTTCAACGCCAAAGAAATTTCATTATACACCCGAAAATAGATTCATATTACTTGTTGTGGTACGATCCACCTAATTTACATAGTGGAGTACCGACCATATAAATATGGTTGGTACCGGGAAGACGGGGGAGGAAGAAGCGATCCAATCCAGAGACTCTGCCCGACTGCGACTAAGTCAACCCATTCTACAGGAACGGTCTTCCCAAGAATATACCAAACTATCTGTAAATATTGTGTACATGTTCTTGTGTCAATACATTTTGTTTAAGTACATTTTGTTTAAGTACATTTTGTGTTTATTATTATTCCATGCTTTATTCAAGTTTCAACATTACTGCACACCACAGCAAATGACCGAATCTGAGAAAAAAAATAGACATCGATTACACCCTGTCACTCCAGTGGGTATAAAACTGACCGTATGGTGAAAGAAAGGAAACTAAAGCAGTTGTTTCAATTCATTTGAACAAGAATGTAAGACAAATATTAGTGGATAACACCAAAATACTCTACAGAATGCACGGAAAGACTCAAAACACTAAAAGCTATTATTATATAAAACAAACAGACGACATTATATAAAATAACATTCCTCACAGGAGACAATATCATGAAGTACATATGATATAATTAACGTGCGAACATATTTTATCCTTATTATAATCGAAAAATAAATCGTATTCTTTTTGTGCAGCCTCGTTCCCAATAGCCTTTGCACTTAATGTCACGCAAGAGCATTTCAAACGTCCTGCTTCCCAAAGAATACCAGGATGGAGACAAAAGAATTATAACTACAACACAAACACCGCATCGATTCTTGATAATGAGTGTGAAAGTCGAAACTAGAACAAATGACTTGACAATTGCGTTTAGCACGAAACAGACAATTGCCGCTGTGTGTTGGCGTCAATGTCCTCTTTTATATTTACATACGCTCTATCCTTGATATTGAGCACTTTAATCCATAAATATAGCATACCTTAAAAGTATATTTTATCATATATATTTTATATATATATATATATATATATATATATATATATATATATATATTGCATCATCTTTCAGAGTCTTTCTTTTCATTTAGTATATAATAATCAATGCAAAAAAAAAAAAAAAAAGACTAAAAATTCTGGAAGCGGTTTTAATACAAAAAAGCAACTAACATTAAATAAGGTTTTTTTCTCCATAGAGGTTCGTCATTGTCGAGAGTTAGGTGATCCGGAAATATACTCTTTATATATATATATATATATATATATATATATATATATATATAAAGGGTATTTCATTAAGACAGATTATATAAAAGGGTGTTTCATTAAGACGGATCAAAGTTAGCAGTAAATAAATCAGTGTTATTGGTGAAAATTTATTTATTTCTCTATTGGATCATGTTATTTAAGTCATGGCAATTATGTGTGAAAAATAATATCACCCAAATGTTCATCAAATCTGAAAGAAAAAGAAAAAAATCATTAAGGGCTTAAATTTAATTCACATTAACATCGGTCCAAGTTATTGGAACACCTTTATATATATATATATATATATATATATATATATATATATATATATGGTCGGAATAAATTCATTATAATTACTTAAAAAGCAAAGCATTGAAGCAGGTGTCTTGCAGTTCGAACAGTATCGGTAATTAATTGACTGTTGTTTACCAATTATTATTTTATTATTATTAACCAAAATTAACCAGAACCTTTTAATAATAAATTTCTGGACTGTTGATTAATTGCTTTGTCTTAACTGTTATTGTAAGTAACTGTATAGCGACTTTAGTGCCACACTGTATATATATATATATATATATATATATATATATATATATATATATATATATATATATATATATATATATATATACGCATAAGATATACATGTAAGCGGCATTGTTAGTATTCTGCTGTGTGTTAGGATCCGGCATATGCCGAGATCATGCCTGATATATGATATGTGTGCATGTTTTGTTATTGTTGGTATGGATACATATATGAGTCTATTCATAACTATTGCTTCCGTGTGTGAGTCTCAAATTGAACGTATTTGTTCTATGCGTACACGATCTCTGACAGTCTTAAATGTGCTTAGTGAACTGTATAGGTAATATTACAGGCCGTGTGCCAAAAGTGAAACGTCTGGGTGTTCCATGGACGACCACACTTTCACCTGAGCGGAAACTCGCCATTTTTCTTTCTATCGCTTCCAAAGCTCTTTTCGTTCCCTCCCCCTCACTTCCGGTGTTGATAATTTCCTTCCTCTTCCGCCAAGAAAATCTTAATATCCAAGTCTTTTTTATTTTATCCATTTTTATTTTTATTTTTGCACATCGCCCTCATATTTTTTCTTTTTCGCTGCTCACAGGCTTCATATTTCATCATTTCCCACATAGGTCACTTCTTTCTTTTCCATATACGCTTTCCTTTGTTAGTTTGACAAAATATTTCAAATAATAAAATTCGTAAAATATTTGGTTGCTTTTATTTTTTCTTCTTTTCCTCCAATATTTTTCTTTTTCTTCTCTACATTTTTTTTCACTTTTTTTTTTTATTCTTTTATACAATTAATTTTCTTTTCGTTTTTTATCGAACTTATTTTTCCTTTCCATTTTGTTTTCGTCGATCGTATCATTCCTTTGACGTTTTTATTGATTCAGTTGACGTCCTTTTTCCTTTTTAGATTCTTCTTTTCTGTTTCTGCTTTCAGTTTTCTTTTTTCGGTCATTCTTCCGATCATTCTTTTTCATTTTGTCATGTTTAATTCTTTACATTTCATTTTATCTATGTCTTTCATTCATTTCCTTTTTCATACTTCCTTTCTGATTTGTGACAGAAAAAGTTGATGATTTTCTTTATTCTTCCTTTGTTTGTATTCTTACACATTCTTAATTCGTTCTTCCTTCCATTCGTTTTTTTCTTTCATTAGTCATTAATATTTCCTTTTCCTGTTTTTTACATTCTTAATATCTCCACATTACTTCCTTCTTTCTTTTCTTTATTAATATTGCCTTTTTCTTTCTTTCATTATTTCAATATGTCAACATTTTTCTTAATATTTAGTCTTTCCTTTTACTTTCTTTTCTTCTTTCTTTTTTAATATCTCCATATTCTTTCTTTCTTTTTTTCTTTCTTTCTTTCCTTCTTTCTTTCTTTCTTAATATTTCCCTTTTCTTTCTTTCTTTCTTTCTTAATATTTCCCTTTTCTTTCTTTCTTTCTTAATATTTCCTTTTCTTTCTTTCTTTCTTTCTTTCTTAATATTTCCCTTCTCTTTCTTTCTTTCTTTCTTTCTTTCTTAATATTTCCCTTTTCTTTCTTTATTTCTTTCATAATATTTCCCTTTTCTTTCTTTCTTTCTTTCTTTCTTTCTTTCTTTCTTTCTTTCTTTCTTAATATTTCTTTTCTTTCTTTCTTTCTTTCTTTCTTTCTTTCTTTCTTTCTTTCTTTCTTTCTAACTCAACATTTTTTCTTAATATTTACTCTTTCCTTTTACTGTCTTTTATTCTTTCTTTTATCTTCTTTTCTTCTTTCTTTGTTAATATCTCTATATTCTTTCTTTCTTTCTTTCTTTCTTTCTTTCTTTCTTTCTTTCTTTCTTTCTTAATATTTCCCTTTTCTTTCTTTCTTTCTTTCTTTCTTTCTTTCTAACTCAACATTTTTTCTTAATATTTACTCTTTCCTTTTACTGTCTTTTATTCTTTCTTTTATCTTCTTTTCTTCTTTCTTTGTTAATATCTCTATATTCTTTCTTTCTTTCTTTCTTTCTTTCTTTCTTTCTTTCTTTCTTAATATTTCCCTTTTCTTTCTTTCTTTCTTTCTTTCTTTCTTTCTTTCTTTCTTAATATTTCCCTCTTCTTCTTTCTTTCTTTCTTTCTTTCTTAATATTTCCCTTTTCTTTCTTTCTATCTTTCTTTCTTTCTTTTTTAATATTTCCCTTTTCTTTCTTTCTTACTTTCTTTATATCTCAACATTTTTTCTTAATATTTACTCTTTCCTTTTACTTTCTTTTATTCTTTCTTTTATCTTTTTTCTTTTTTCTTTTTTAATATCTCCATATTCTTTCTTTCTTTCTTTCTTTCTTTCTTTCTTAATATTTCCTTTTTCTTTCTTTCTTTCTTTCTTTCTTTCTTAATATTTCCCTTTTCTTTTTTTCTTTCTTTCTTTATTTCTTTCTTTCCTTCGTTCTTTCTTTCTTTCTTTCTTTCTTTCTTTCTTTCTTTCTTTCTTTATATCTCAACATTTTTTCTTAATATTTACTCTTTCCTTTTACTTTTTTTTATTCTTTCTTTTATCTTCTTTTCTTCTTTCTTTTTTAATATCTCCATATTCTTTCTTTCTTTCCTTCTTTCTTTCTTTCTTTCTTTCTTAATATTTCCCTTTTCTTTCTTTCTTTCTTTCTTTTTTTCTTAATATTTCTCTCTTCTTTCTTTCTTTCTTTTACATGATAATCCCCTTTTACATGATAATTCTCTTTTACATGACACGCCTTTTTTCATGATAATTCTCTCTTTTTCGTGATAAACCTCTTTGTAATTATAATTTTTTTTGTGTGATAATTCTAGTTTTTGTCAAGTTTCTTTTTTGAACATAACTTTCTTTTTTGTGATAAACCTATTTTTCATGATAATTCTCTTTTTCATGATAATTCTCTTTTTCATGATAATTCTCTTTTTCGTGATAATTCTTTTTCGTGAAAAGTCTCATTTTTTGTGATAAGCGTATTTATCATGATAATTCTATTTTTCGTGATAATTCTCTTTTTCATAATTCTCTTTTTCGAGATAAGTCTCTTTTTTGTGATAATTCTATTTTTTCATGATAATTATATTTTCCGTGATAATTCTCTTTTTCCAGATATTTTTCTTTTGAAAATGAAAATTCTATTTTTTTTTAATAAGTCTCGTTTTTTGGATAATTTTCTTTTTTGGAGATATTTTTTCTTTTCCATGATAATTCTAATTTTCGTGAAAGTTCACTTTCTGATAATTCCCTTTTTCATGATAATTCTCTTCTTTTTTTTGGAGGGAATAACTCTCTTTTTCGTGATAAGTCATGGCTCATATCAGTCACTTTCCTTCGACTTTCCGATGAGTAATGAATCATACAGACCAGGGACGGCCAGCTCCCTGGAATATTTGATATACCCGCATACCCAGAGGTATTTACTCAAATGCCCACAATATTAGGACATGCTGTAAACATTAAATATACTTTGAGGGTCTTCAATTTACTAAATTTAGCTCCATCTATCGTTATCTTCATTTTCTCTTTTGTTATTATTAAATTCCGCTGATAGGAAGGAAGACGTTGGCAACAGCAGGTCTCTCCCCGTCTTTATTTTCTTCCCTAAGCATGTCTTACTTTGGGCCCAAAGCCACAATTATGGGGCATTCAATGAAGATCGAACTCACTACTAAGAAGTAAGGGCCAAATAAGCGATTTCTGCATCGAGATGCTCCACTCTTGCTGACTTTGTGTACGTGTGTCCGTCTATTCGCCTCCTGCTGTGTTTCGTTATCTCCCCTTTCTTCAATTACCTTTTCATTCTTCTTCTTCTTCTTCTTCTTCTTCTTCTTCTTCTTCTTCTTCTTTCTCTTTCTCTTCCTTTTTTTTCTTCGGATAATTCTAAAACATAGTTTTTTTTTTTTTTTCATTTTCTAAGCATCACTTTGGCACAAGTAGAGGGCAGCCTGTGAGAAATGAACTCACTAGTCAGTAGTAATGGTCAACGAGGCTAGCTCGTTTCCCATTACGAAGATGTTTTTGTTTGCTTTTTTATCGATTTTGTGTCCGTTGTCGATCCATAAACGTCGCCATATTTGATTTTCTTCTTTTCACAATATAACCTAAATATTTCTTTTAACCATTTCACAAAAGGATACAATTATGGCGCACTCAGTGAGAATCGAACTCGTTATTCATATGTAATGGTTATCTAGACTAGCTCGTTAACCATAACACAAAACCGAAGCGCTCATTAGCAATACGAACCTTAGCTTAGATTTAGCACAAATCAACAAATATGGAGATCCCAGTGAGGATCGAACTCACGACTGGTGGTCAAACAGACTCTTTCAATAAACCAATGTATGTATGAATCGAGACCTCACCCGTTCTCATACATTTCAATTTTTATAAGGTAGTATTCATTATAATATTTTTATTATAATAGATTATAATAAAAACATTTTACATTGCTTCACAGAAGCTTTCATGTTTCAATACTATGATTGTACTTCTTCAGGCGATAGTAGATAATAGATTTAATCTATTGTCCCCTTTAAGAACTTTTCTGAAGATAAAAATTTTTTAAAAAATATTTGTTTCTGATAACTTTATGTCTACTTCAACAAACCGGAATATCATACTTGGCTACATCCATGATACATTTCTCGCTGGCATGTTTCCTACGGTCGTTGGAGGACATGTCCACACGTCAGTTTATCTTGACATGAAAAAAACAAATCACGCCCCCACTTCTGACCATAATTTTCTATTTTAGCGTAGTTCTGACTTTTAATTGGTTAATCTAGACATACCCACAAGAATATTTTTAATTATAACCGTATGCTACTGACCTTTAACTTCCGAAAAGAGGTAACGATTTGTTTTTAAATTTCCCCAATAAGCCATTTTTATCACAAGATATCTACCATCGCCTGAAGAAGTACAATCCTTTTATTGAAACATGAAAACTTTTGTGCAGCGATGTAAAATGTTTTATTATAATCTATTATAATAAAAAATATTATAGTAATATTTTTCTCTACGTTGCATTGATCACATTTTTTTTAAAAGTAAATTTAACGAACTGTAGTTTTTTATTCCATCTGTTCTTATTTGGATAAATTAGTATTTATATAAAATACAAATTTTATTGTAACTTAATTATGTACAGAAGTAGATCATATGCAATATAGGTGAATATTTCAACTATAAAAATTGAAAGCAAACACAATGTACACTATTCACATTATTCGGAATATTGTCCTCATCATTGTCGCCATATTTATTACAACGTTTCGACCGTTGTACGCCCCGGCCTTTTTCAGGTGGTTGGAATGTCGAACTGAACCCTTTATTTCGCTCACTGGGGTAGACTGTTCTAGTTCCTCGTGCCATGTTTAATGAATGTCAGTTATCAGTTATCTCCTGTTAATTCCCCTCTCCAAGTTCTCCACTGCCTTAACCACTGTGCCATGTGTCGTCAAGGACACATGGCACAGTGGATAAAGGCGTTAGTTAGATTCAGTGACAGAACCCAAAGAATGTGAGTTCAATACCCGGTTAAATCAGAATCACGTTAAAATTCATAAAAAAATTGGTAATCCTTTAATATTCAGTTGTGCTTAGTTTAATTTGCATCGTATATAAATGTAGATAGAACCCCCCCCCCAAAAAAAAAAAAAATCAAATATTTATAAGATAGCGAGGGTTGGGGAGTTTGGGGATATTATGCACCGGTCCGCCTTAGTCGCGTTTGTCTACTTTCTTGCTGATTTTGTGCATGTGTGTACAGCAGTCAGTCCAAACGCGTTTGCTTGCCGTCGGTTATCTCCCTTTCTTCACTTCCCTCTTACAGCCTCCTACTCCTTCTCCTCCATCGTCTCCTGCTACTTCTTCCGCCATCTTCTTTTTTTTTTTCTTTTTTGCTCACCTTTTATTTGCCAATAATGAAATGTTTAAGAGACTCGTTGCTTATCTCTGGCGTGATCACGTTACTAACAAATAACCACCCACTTTATACGGCTGACAGAATTAATTTAACGGCTGACAGAATTAATTTCAACTCGGAACCTCAAAAGGGTAATTTGCAGTTCAAATCCCGCGCTCAGTTTCTAATAAAAAAAGTTCCCGAATTGTTCCATTTAGGTGTAAATGTGCATGTTTAATTCGAAAATAACAAAAAAATTTTAATAAACTCTACCGTTTTGGTGTTATCGACAATAAAAATTCGGACTCATTCGCGTCGCGTGACGTTGGAATTAATTCTGCACCCCGTTTTAACAAGCAAGCAGGCAGCATGATATATATATAAGTAAACAGGCGCACAAACATTAAACAAACTAGAAACACAGTTCATTGTAGAACTATTTTAATTTATACTTTAATCATTTCATCCCAAGCTAGTCTTATAATACGACTAAGATGCGAATAGTTATTGAGAGTGAAATAGAATGAGAAGATTTTAGGAGAACGAACCAAAAACATATTCTTAAACAGGAAACAAATGATAAACCAATACACTTGTTCAAAAGCCAGGGGAGGAGTGCGAACCGGACGATACACGTACCTAGCT